GAGAGAGAGAGAGAATGCTGCTGGAGAGAGCAAATACCGAATCTCATAGGAAATACATTTAGGAAACACATAGGGCACACATTTTACATGAAAAATTACTATGAAGAATTAGATATGAGAAAGCTGAGCGCGTATTGGATGCCGCATTTGTTCACTGTTAATTAAAAATGAGATCGGTTGATCATTTCATCGTATCTTGAGTGTTTCAAGAACGTTGAAAAAAATTTTTTACGGTGTTTTATTATGACGAAACTTGGATTCACGACTACATTCCGGAGACAAAAGAACAGTGGACTGCAAAGGATGAACCGACTCCGAAGAAGGCAAAAACAATTCTGTCGGCTAGCAAGGTGATGGCTATAGTTTTCTGAGATTCTCATGAGATAATTGTGGAAAATTATCCCATGAGAATCCCAGAAAACTGCCATCTGGAAAGAGGTAAAACAATCACCGAAGAGTTGAGTTATTACAACGTTTATAAATCAAGAAACGTCCGCATTTAGCCAAAAAAAAATCTTACTTTACCAGAACAATATACTGATCTAGTCAGCAGTTGTACAGACTGAAATACGAATTAATTACACATCCACTGTACATTTCAGATTTGGCTCCCTCTGACTGTTTCCAAATTTTAAAAAATAACTATCTGGGAAAACATTTCGAATGCTGAAATGACAAGTGCCATTAATGATTTTTCGAGTTTAAACAAAAGTTATTTAAGGAAGCTAAGGGAAAATCTAGAAAAACGTTGGACCAAGTATATTGAGTTGAAGGAAAACTATGTTGAAAAATAAATTTCATTTAGCTCAAAAACATTTTTTAATCAGGAAAAAATTTCAATCTACCTTCCTTCGTACATCTTTATAATGAGTTAAAAATGCTAAAAAGATACTCGCATAAATTTAATCTTGTAATATCAATTTTTCTTTTCCTATTAAAATACTGTTGCAATACAAGAAAGTTTTGTTTCAGATTAGGAGAAGTGCTGGAAATAGTAGATGATTTAGTTATTGATATACCAAAAATTTGGACTTATCTAGCTGAAATATTGTGTAAGTAGTTGTCTCTGCTGCACATATTTCTTTTTCTGCCATAGGTTATCTATATGATATAGATATTAAAAAAACTGATACGAAGATAAATTTTTGTGATGATAATCACATCTTGCGCCATAGAAACATTCCGTGCGGGTGCTATTAAGCTCAACAGGCCTGAAGAGATATATAATAATTTATTTGCGTTATTAATTTGAAATCGATTCACATGCATGATAATTTCTGTTGCAGCACATTCGATAGAAGATGGAGCTCTTTTGCTATCTGAATTGAAGAGTATATGTTTAAGTTTGAGAAGGCAAGGCTTTGTAGGTAAATTCCTCGGAGAACTTATGACAAAAGTATCTCGTAGCAAAGGACCTAAATGGCTTGCTGATAAATGGGACCAAAGTGGACTTCAACTGAATAATCTAATTGACCCGGAACAAGAGAACGTTGATAAGATCATTCAGGAATACGTAAGTATTCCTCGGATGATCATATAATTATATATATGCTAATTGTATTACATACACACACACACAC